CTTACAATTTGCATGAAAAAAGAAAATGACTTGGTCACCCAAGACCGAAAATGTCAGTTACACAACCAATTATACCCGTAGTGTTCAAGTTGGCATCACGGAATGATAACCAAATGAACCTTTATAATAAACAAAGTGAAGTTTTACAAAGTAGCTAGTTTCAGTAATGAATTTTAACATCCTTTGATATGAATCCAGTGAGCCACTTAGGATGAAATTACCAATATATGTATTGTCCCCCACAAGACGCTCATAACGTAAAAAATTACATAATTGAACAGTATCTATTTGATTATAAAATTCAAAAATTGACTCAACAAATTAGTTAATCATTCCTATATAGACAGGAATAAGTAATGAACAAATTGAACTAATCAATATTATATTCTTCCCTTGCATGTCTCTAACATTAACAAGTCATACACACGTGAAGATCAGCACCACGTTTCAACCTAAGACATTGCACAGAATGACATTACCGAACTTGCATACCTCAGACGAGTGAAACTAGAAAACTTAAAATTTTAAAGTGTTTCTTTGTCTAGTTTTCCGCTTGAAATCTTCAGGACCAGCTAGACGAGTTGACGATGAATTCAACTCCTCTAAAAGTTCTTTTGCCAACTCAACCTTCCCTGTTTTATTTAAATTCTGGATTAGTGATCTATAGATAAATACCGAAGGAAGAATCCCCTTCTTTTTCATCTCCTTGAAGTATTTCAAAGACTCCTCAACACTTCCTGACCGGCCAAAAATCTCAATTAGTACAGTATATGTGAGCAGATCTGGTTCAATCCCGTTATCGGTCATTTCCTTATAATACACAAAGCACATATCAAATCTTCCAACCTTCCGCAAGCCATTCATTAGAGTATTGTAAGAAACTGTATCCGGGATGAGACCTGTATCCTTTATGGATGAAAACACATTAAGCATTTCATCCACACGGCCCATGTGACCCAAGATATCTAGAACAATATTGTATGTGACCAAATCCGAACCATACCTCTGTCTTCTAAGATGATCAAATACCACCAAGGATTTATCTTTCTGCCCACATTTGGCAAAGGCAAAAATGATCTTGTTGATGAAGGATGATGATGTGCTTGAAGACATTATCTCTGATATTTCCTCAAGAAATCTGATTAGCTCCACACAATCATTTTCTTTTGTGAAAGCCTTGGCAAACTTAAGGCACGAGGTTGCACTTGGGGATTTACAGGACAATAATAATTTCTTGAAAACTTGACAAGTAAGGTCAATGTCGTGACTTGCCTCCTCTAATATGAGATTATAGGCATCAAGGGAAACGACAATGTTCTTATCGTTTAAAATATTTAGCACTTTATCGGTATATGAATAGACATTCGCACTGGATGCTGGTGTATTTTTGACTGCGGCAATAAATTCTTTCAGATCTTCCTTTGTCACTATCTTTATGCCAGGAGATGCCTCTGTTGAATAATCCGGAAAACTGCAAACTGCCAGTGAATTAGCTATTACTGATTTAAAAACATTCAGAAAACTTTGGTTGTGATGGGAATGACGCAGTTAATGAGAATCATCATTAGGTTCATGTGATACAAAACTGCTTATTCATTCGATATTCACTTTTATTTTGCTGCCAAATGCTCAACAAACGAAAAATGCAGTAGGATCATAAAAATGTAAGTTGAATATGGATAACTATTTGGATGCTAAAGCTAAACTAAAATAAGTTGCTTTGGAGTAGAACTAGGCATGAACATGAAATATGCTACATATCAAAATTCATTCATATCTGGCAGGCGTGTACATATCTATCATCTAAAAGAACAGGTATCTAAGAATAAGCCAAGCACACTAGCACTTCATAGGTCTGGCTCAATAAAAAATATGCAAATCTATACAAAACTATTAAAAAAACTCAAGTCATGGGAACCTTGATGATGGACTAATCTTAGTGGGTCACATAATTCCCGCTAGGAGTAAGTTATAGCATATTGACAATAATGTCACACGACTAGTTCAACTAAAGTTCATCTGTTCAAGGTTGACAGTTTGATCTAACTCCAAACCTTCTTCCACCATGAAAGGGCAAGATGTTGCCCCGAGCAAATACGAGTGAACACATCTCATCCTTTCATAAACTTCATGAGGAATAAACTGCTCTGAAATGGTTTATCTCTAAAAGTGCACAAGTAAAGGGCATCAACCCTAGATTTTATTTAAAGCAAAATGTGCATATGGCCCGCTAAAATTCGAAGTGACACACCATTACTTGTGCATTTCAGTGACAATCTCACCTTTAGTGGAGACAATCTTGCACTCTTAACACATGATACAACATTTTCAATGCTTTTCAGCTCTCACCACTCCATGATAAAAAGTTTGAACTTAAACAGCAACAACAATAATAACCAATCAACCTACAGTAAAACCCAAAATTATTATGATATAACAAATTACAAAGGCAGTAGTATATTGATAATCATGACTTATAAGTGGAGGTTCTGAGAGCCACCCACCACAGGAACTTTACTTTCCACAATGAAGAAAACTACACTTTCATTCAAAACAGTAAGAATTTACAAAAAAAATTAAAAATTTGAATGAAAAAAATTGGGTTTGGAAGAGTACCGAATGATTGTTGAAAGAGGAAGGGAGAGATTGAAGCGAAAGCGGAACAGAGGAAGTTTAATCAATGAAAAGCCTCTTGTTGTTGCTCCTCCTAACATCCTTCGCAGCTGAAATGAGATTACCACGTTTGTGTTCATGTTCTTTTCTTTTATTCATAGGGTGCATAAACATGCTACAATTATAAATACTGCTGTTTAGTCCTTCTGATCGGTTTCACAATTAAGACCTCAAAAGTTATTTTTGCAAAGAGGCCCCTGCATAAAAGCTGGATAGGTCCCATAAGTTTGCAAGTTTTAGTTACCTTGCACCCACGTAATTATTGATGAGAAATATATTAGTTAAGGAAAAAAACATATTAAACTTATAGAGAAAGACTTTTTTTTTTTTTTTTTTATAAATCATAGATAAAACTTTATATATAGTATTTTAAGTTTTATTTCAATAAATATATGATCCAATCATGTAAACTTTTGTTATTTACTGAAATAAAATTTCAAATCTAATTAAAAGTAATAAAACCAGCACTTACAATACACAACCTAATTTTTGTCATACAATTATTATAACAATAAATTGAAAACACTCAAATTGAGACAAAATAAGAGTGCTGTTACTCTCCATTCGTTATATTTTGAAAATACATTTAAATAAATTAAGTCGTAAAGATTAAACTTGAAAATATATTTGTACTCAAAATATTACAACATTTAGTTAAAAAAGATAATTTGATCTTAATAATGTAATGTTAATTTTATTTTTGATAAATTATAAATCTTAAAAGTTAAATAAATTAAATCTGTTTTGATTTAAACGAAAAATTAAAATTCATGTATTTCAAATTTTTAAAAAATTAACATAATTGAATTAAAAGATTATACTTATTTAATTTTAAAAATAAAAAAAATGATTAAACTTTTAAAAATGAACAAATTTTAATTTTATATTTAAATTTAGAAATTAAAAATATATTTAACCCAAATTAAATTTATATTATATTACTTTCATTGAAAAAAAAATCCTTCAGAATATGTGATGGGGTTCACAATAGAGACCTCGAAAATTATGTTTTTGCAAAAAGGTCCATGTATAAAACCTTGAAAGGTGCCATTTCTTCGTGATTTGGGTGTGGAGAAGAAGAGCACGTTCAGTGCCAACGGGAATTCATCATCGTTTGTTCGGCGGCAAAGCCCGACGTTTTGGTTTGTTCAACGGTAAACCTTTTTCTTTTTTCTTTTGGTTTCTTATTTGCATTCACAATTGATGTATTAAGAATGGAGATTTTGTTTGTCCAACGGTAACCCTATGATGTCTCACTCATAGATTCCACAAATCTATCTGACAATTCAGTGTGCCCTTCAAAACAAATTTATGTTCTATTTCCAGTATCAGCAGATTCAAACAAGAGTGCTGAAATATCACTCTCACTTTTCCACAGCTTTACCGTAGATAACAATACTCTTTGCGAACTGAAGTGATGGAATATCACCTTCCAAACCGTTAAAGTCAATCAATTTAGCATTTTCTTCTTGGCTTCTTTTGAAAAGGGATACAAATTATGACTTTAGTTTTTTGATAGATACATTTCAAATAGCAGGCCAACCTAATATCTTATTTGAATAATGAAACTTGAGTAACCTGAATCTGACCTTGTGTCAAGTTCGTTTACAGATTTCAGTTCTAGTGCACTAATGGAAGTTAACTCGGATGGTTGGAATTCCAAAACTTTGGTTTTTGACTGATCCAGATGGTGTCAAGTGATCCGTGTAGTTGATCTCACCTTGTGGGATAGGACTTTGGGTGATTTTCTTTGATCTAGTGCCGTAGGTTATCCATTCCCAATTTGCCAAGTTTTTTATGTTAATTTTTGTCCTTGCTTTTTTAAATGAGTTACCTGCAAGATGTCATAGTTTCTTTAACTTGTGTTATAATTTTTTGACTGACCAGTGAGCCATTATCCCGATTTAGTCGATCACCAGACCAAGTTTAATAACAAAGCATGTTGCGACAAATACATTTTCTGTGTAAAAACTTTTTCTTCATTCTCACTTTTATAAAATTAAAAGTTTACGTGAAATTTTGGTAATTATGTTTAAAACAGAATCAGATCAGAAAAATCGGTAGACCATTAATCATTAATGTAGAAACATGGAAACAACAACGATTTTTTTTCTTTTGATTGTAAAAACAATGGTTGCTTGGGCAACTCATCTGTTAGTATGCTCCCCTTATTCAATCCTGATTAGTGTACGGGGCTGATGGAAGGAACCTCTGTGAACACTGTCTTAAACCCTGAGCCCTCGTGAAGAAAGCTTTCAACTTTCAATAATCAAGTGTGCTCCTTTGTTAAGAACTGTTTTATTTATCTTAATTTATGTATAGTGATATTATTTTCTTCACATAAAAAATGATAGATGGATCAAGGGAGGCAGGTATTCACAGTGGACCTTCTTGAGCGATATGCTGCAAAAGGTCGTGGAGTTATCACTTGCATGGCTGCCGGAAATGATGTCATTGTGATTGGAACCAGCAAAGGATGGGTCATCAGGCATGATTTTGGGCTTGGCAATTCATCTGGTGAAGTTTCAATTTTGAGCTTTCTGTTCCTTTGATACCCATTTTTATTAATTTTTAGATAGTGGAAACAAATTGGTATTTGATATCCCATTGAAATGTGTATTTTGAATTCAGTAACCTTCACATTTTGACTGTCAAATTTGAGGGTCTAATTTTAATTTTTGAATCAACATAGATATAAAATAGGGACCACTCTTTGAATGATTTTTTTTAGGGTTCTTGATAGTAGCGTGTACTTGAGTCTGGAATTTGGAGTTGTTTTCTTTAATATCCTGCTTCTTTAGTAGGATTGATGAGTGTCTTATATCTTGCTGTCTGTTTGGAGTGTAGAGATTGATCTCACTGTGGGTCGTCCTGGGGACCAATCAATCCACAGGGTTTTTGTTGATCCTGGAGGGAGTCACAGTATTGCCACTGTTGTTGGTCCTGGAGGAGCTGAAACTTTCTATACTCATGCCAAATGGAACAAGCCACGAATTTTGAGCAAGCTGAAAGGACTTGTTGTGAATGCTGTTGCATGGAACAAACAACAGATAACTGAAGGTAGTTAGTTTATCACTTATTTGACTTATGCCCATTGCTTGTAGATTTATTTACCATTAAAAGATTCGGATATTCATTTGTGCTGGAGGTTTTGATTAAACTTTTTAAACGCAGTTTCCACAAAGGAAGTTATTCTTGGTACTGAAAATGGTCAACTTCACGAGCTGTATGTGGATGAGAAGGATAAGAAAGAGAAGTACATCAAGTTTCTCTATGAATTAAGAGAACTTTCTGAAGCTTTTATGGGCTTGCAGGTATGCCTTTTTCCTGTTTACTGTTATAGCTTCTTTTTCCAAGATAAATGTATGGTTTTATCTCTTTTTAATGAATTTTAGAGTATTTTTTTTTTTCAAATGTGGTTAAGGCATTCAATTTATGTTCTGGTTCTTGTCCTTTTTTATCAGATGGAAACAGCTACCATAATTAATGGGACTAGGTATTATGTGATGGCAGTTACTCCTACTCGTCTTTACTCTTTCACTGGCTTTGGGTCACTAGAAGTAAGTCAAATACTATAAATTTCCACTTTTTTTGTTTATTTCCCTTGAGTAATCTATTCTATAAAGCATTTATACTTCAATGTGTTTCATGTATCCATGTTTGACACGTTTCCGATATTGACATTTTTTTATACTTTACCAATATATTAAGTGTCCAAGCTTTTAAGCATTTATACTCAATCCACAACAAACATTAAGAAGCATGTGTAATGGTCTCTTCATAAACCAAAGAGGGAGATTGTTTTCTTTATGAATTGTTTTAGAAAGTAGTAAGATTGTGATAGGTTCTTGAATCAAGAAACTATCGATAAACGCTAACCCAACACACTCAACACAGAAGAAAGAAAGAATCTGTATATTTCTTCTATATGAATCACAGTTTATACTCGTACAAAACCTCCCAAGGGATTTCTCCCTCCTCCATAGGATAGAAATGTCCTGCCTATTCAAAGAATTTCCAAAACTGAAAAACTGTACAATATTTCCTAAGCCTCTTATATAGGCTCCCCCTTTCCCTCCAACTAATAAAACTAACCGACTCCCCCTGTACAAAAATACCCTTCTCCCCTTATTCTCCTAACTAATGTTTTAATTCTTCTTTATCCTTTCATAAACTGTCAGTCTTCTACCAGATTGATTGTGTTATTTCTATATGTATATAATAGAAAGTAATTTATGATGACAATGATTTTTAATCTTGGGCTATCCTTTTTCATTATACCCTCCATGATCTTTCAAATTTCAATTTTACTGATTGTTATACAAATGTAGACTGTTTTTTCAGGTTATTTAGATCGTACTGTGCATTTTATGGAACTTCCTGGTGACATACCAAACAGGCAAGTGGTTTCTCTCCCCCTCTTTCTCTAAAAGCATAATACTATTGTTATATCATGGGAGCATTCAACATAAGTGGTCTAAATGCAGAAAATGACTTTATTTTTACAGTCCTTCATATGTGTTGTTTGTATATGATCTATACTTTCTAAGACTTCACTCTATTGATTATCTTTCAGTGAGTTGCATTTTTTCATTAAGCAACGGAGAGCTGTACATTTTGCATGGCTTTCTGGAGCTGGTATTTACCATGGTGGCTTAAATTTTGGAGGACAACAGAGGTAGTATAGAATGACTTGACTTTGTTGTCTGTTTCATCTTTAATAAATATTGATTTGGAACATGTTCACTATGTTGGTCATCTGCAAACCTCATTTCTGAACATGAATGGTTGCTACTGCAAATTCTTACATCTTGTTTTTTAGGAACTTATTCACCTTTCTCTCAATTTTCGACAGTTCTTCAGGTGGAAATGAAAATTTTATTGAGAACAAAGCTCTTTTGGACTACTCCAAATTGTCTGAAGGAGCTGAAGTAGTTAAACCAAGTTCAATGGCATTGTCTGAATTCCATTTCTTGTTGCTTCTGGGGAATAAGGTTAAGGTGTGTATGCACTTTTGTATCATAGTTTTGTTTTCACCCATACGTCACAATCCCAATTTAAAGAGTTTTATACATGTTTGCTAAATTATTTGAACATTTGTAGGTTGTAAACAGAATTAGTGAGAACATTATTGAGGAACTTCAGTTTGATCAAACTTCTGATTCAGCATCAAAGGGTATTATAGGGTTGTGTAGTGATGCCACAGCTGGTTTGTTTTATGCATATGATCAAAACTCCATCTTTCAGGTTTGTGTTTTCTGAATTCTGTAACCTTCTGAATTTTGGATCTAACTGGCTTGGTTATAATTGCTGCTGTATTTGATAATTTAGTAGGTGTCTATCAATGATGAGGGCCGAGATATGTGGAAGGTATATCTTGACATGAATGAATATACTGCTGCTTTAGCAAATTGCCGTGACCCTTTTCAAAGAGACCAAGTATATTTAGTGCAGGTCCTGTTCACTGTGCTGCCCAATAAATAGTTTGTCTAAATTCATGATAAATTTTTTTCCACAAGATAGTTTGGAGTTTGATTGTAATAATTTATGGTGCAGGCTGAAGCTGCATTTTCTTCTAGAGATTATTTTAGAGCTGCATCTTTCTATGCCAAAGTAAATCCCCTCTGAGTTCATTATTTTGTTATATATAGTTTGTTATATTACTGCAAGAGCTTCCTTTTCTTTCATGACACTTGATTACTTAAAAATAAATGTGCTGCCCTTTGCTATATATCCTGGTCGACTGGACTTTCATAGCTATATACTTTCAAGGTTTCCAAATCGGGACCAAAAAGTTTCCAAATCATTGCATATAGATATCGTTTTACATCTTTTCCCAATGATTTGTATTCGTTTAAGAGGGAGATCCACATGTAATAGTTTAAAACTGTCTACCATTTTTTTTTTCTCATTTAAAAACATCATTCCCTAAAGATAGGTCTCTGAATGTTTTATGAGCTCTGATCATAAATTTAAAGTTTGACAGTGTAGAATATTTTGGCAGCATCATCTTTACATAAAGTGCTCTATTATGATAATTTGGTTATAATTGTGATTCCTTTGTACTTAAGTAATGCTTTCTAGTATTAACACTGCGGACTTTGTTTTGATAATCCGAAAGAAAAAATAAATTTGACAGGAATATTATTTGCAGATCAATTATATTTTATCATTTGAAGAGGTCACTTTGAAGTTCATTACTGCTGGTGAACAGGTACTTTTCATGCTGCTAGCCCTTAAATATGAATTATACTGTGGTTGCATTCTTTGTCAATGTGTGTATTTTTAGAAAAATTTACATTGTAATTTTTTCTTTCTATAAGAAAATCTTTTTTGATCATACTATTATAATATTATTTCATTCAGCCTGCTTCTAATACATCAGTGTATTAAGTTTAATAAATGATAAATAAATGTTGCATCATTGCATTTTCTTATGTGCATTTAATCTCTACAGTGATTGCTTTCTATGTTGGCATATGCAAACTGGTTTGATTTGGTTTATCCTGAATTTAAATTTTTAAATTTTTGGATTTGAAATTTGACTCATTCTTATACAAATTCACTGGTTTCTTTCTTTGTGTAGGATGCTTTGAGAACTTTCTTATTGCGGAAGCTTGATAATTTAGAAAAGAGCGACAAATGCCAAATAACAATGATATCCACTTGGGCAACTGAATTGTATTTGGACAAGGTTCTACATTCTTGACATTTGGAATAATAATTCCTTTATCTAATTTTCTGTGAACAATGGCATAACAAAACCTTATATGATATCCAAATTTAAACTAGAGTGGTGCTTAATTATGTATAATATGTCCTGAAATTCCATCTGTTTTCCACAAACTCCTTATTGTTTTACTTATTTGTACATGGGACATGAAAAATGAGTGATAGGAAAAAGAAACAATTCTTATTGTTATGAATGCAAATTTAATATCAGAGCTGAATTGCGACAATGAAGAGCTTAAACTACTCCTAGCTAGGGATAGTTCGCTTAGAGCTTAAGCTAAATGCTGAAACAAACACAAAAATCATGGCCCATCAGTAAGTGTGATAAGAAAACCATTCTTTACTGCTTTAATAAATTTAAGTTATATAAACTTGTGTGTAATGAAAGCCACAGTCCCCAACCTTTGTGAAANTTCTAGTGCACTAATGGAAGTTAACTCGGATGGTTGGAATTCCAAAACTTTGGTTTTTGACTGATCCAGATGGTGTCAAGTGATCCGTGTAGTTGATCTCACCTTGTGGGATAGGACTTTGGGTGATTTTCTTTGATCTAGTGCCGTAGGTTATCCATTCCCAATTTGCCAAGTTTTTTATGTTAATTTTTGTCCTTGCTTTTTTAAATGAGTTACCTGCAAGATGTCATAGTTTCTTTATCTTGTGTTATAATTTTTTGACTGACCAGTGAGCCATTATCCCGATTTAGTCGATCACCAGACCAAGTTTAATAACAAAGCATGTTGCGACAAATACATTTTCTGTGTAAAAACTTTTTCTTCATTCTCACTTTTATAAAATTAAAAGTTTACGTGAAATTTTGGTAATTTTGTTTAAAACAGAATCAGATCAGAAAAATCGGTAGACCATTAATCATTAATGTAGAAACATGGAAACAACAACGATTTTTTTTCTTTTGATTGTAAAAACAATGGTTGCTTGGGCAACTCATCTGTTAGTATGCTCCCCTTATTCAATCCTGTTTAGTGTACGGGGCTGATGGAAGGAACCTCTGTGAACACTGTCTTAAACCCTGAGCCCTCGTGAAGAAAGCTTTCAACTTTCAATAATCAAGTGTGCTCCTTTGTTAAGAACTGTTTTATTTATCTTAATTTATGTATAGTGATATTATTTTCTTCACATAAAAAATGATAGATGGATCAAGGGAGGCAGGTATTCACAGTGGACCTTCTTGAGCGATATGCTGCAAAAGGTCGTGGAGTTATCACTTGCATGGCTGCCGGAAATGATGTCATTGTGATTGGAACCAGCAAAGGATGGGTCATCAGGCATGATTTTGGGCTTGGCAATTCATCTGGTGAAGTTTCAATTTTGAGCTTTCTGTTCCTTTGATACCCATTTTTATTAATTTTTAGATAGTGGAAACAAATTGGTATTTGATATCCCATTGAAATGTGTATTTTGAATTCAGTAACCTTCACATTTTGACTGTCAAATTTGAGGGTCTAATTTTAATTTTTGAATCAACATAGATATAAAATAGGGACCACTCTTTGAATGATTTTTTTTAGGGTTCTTGATAGTAGCGTGTACTTGAGTCTGGAATTTGGAGTTGTTTTCTTTAATATCCTGCTTCTTTAGTAGGATTGATGAGTGTCTTATATCTTGCTGTCTGTTTGGAGTGTAGAGATTGATCTCACTGTGGGTCGTCCTGGGGACCAATCAATCCACAGGGTTTTTGTTGATCCTGGAGGGAGTCACAGTATTGCCACTGTTGTTGGTCCTGGAGGAGCTGAAACTTTCTATACTCATGCCAAATGGAACAAGCCACGAATTTTGAGCAAGCTGAAAGGACTTGTTGTGAATGCTGTTGCATGGAACAAACAACAGATAACTGAAGGTAGTTAGTTTATCACTTATTTGACTTATGCCCATTGCTTGTAGATTTATTTACCATTAAAAGATTCGGATATTCATTTGTGCTGGAGGTTTTGATTAAACTTTTTAAACGCAGTTTCCACAAAGGAAGTTATTCTTGGTACTGAAAATGGTCAACTTCACGAGCTGTATGTGGATGAGAAGGATAAGAAAGAGAAGTACATCAAGTTTCTCTATGAATTAAGAGAACTTTCTGAAGCTTTTATGGGCTTGCAGGTATGCCTTTTTCCTGTTTACTGTTATAGCTTCTTTTTCCAAGATAAATGTATGGTTTTATCTCTTTTTAATGAATTTTAGAGTATTTTTTTTTTCAAATGTGGTTAAGGCATTCAATTTATGTTCTGGTTCTTGTCCTTTTTTATCAGATGGAAACAGCTACCATAATTAATGGGACTAGGTATTATGTGATGGCAGTTACTCCTACTCGTCTTTACTCTTTCACTGGCTTTGGGTCACTAGAAGTAAGTCAAATACTATAAATTTCCACTTTTTTTGTTTATTTCCCTTGAGTAATCTATTCTATAAAGCATTTATACTTCAATGTGTTTCATGTATCCATGTTTGACACGTTTCCGATATTGACATTTTTTTATACTTTACCAATATATTAAGTGTCCAAGCTTTTAAGCATTTATACTCAATCCACAACAAACATTAAGAAGCATGTGTAATGGTCTCTTCATAAACCAAAGAGGGAGATTGTTTTCTTTATGAATTGTTTTAGAAAGTAGTAAGATTGTGATAGGTTCTTGAATCAAGAAACTATCGATAAACGCTAACCCAACACACTCAACACAGAAGAAAGAAAGAATCTGTATATTTCTTCTATATGAATCACAGTTTATACTCGTACAAAACCTCCCAAGGGATTTCTCCCTCCTCCATAGGATAGAAATGTCCTGCCTATTCAAAGAATTTCCAAAACTGAAAAACTGTACAATATTTCCTAAGCCTCTTATATAGGCTCCCCCTTTCCCTCCAACTAATAAAACTAACCGACTCCCCCTGTACAAAAATACCCTTCTCCCCTTATTCTCCTAACTAATGTTTTAATTCTTCTTTATCCTTTCATAAACTGTCAGTCTTCTACCAGATTGATTGTGTTATTTCTATATGTATATAATAGAAAGTAATTTATGATGACAATGATTTTTAATCTTGGGCTATCCTTTTTCATTATACCCTCCATGATCTTTCAAATTTCAATTTTACTGATTGTTATACAAATGTAGACTGTTTTTTCAGGTTATTTAGATCGTACTGTGCATTTTATGGAACTTCCTGGTGACATACCAAACAGGCAAGTGGTTTCTCTCCCCCTCTTTCTCTAAAAGCATAATACTATTGTTATATCATGGGAGCATTCAACATAAGTGGTCTAAATGCAGAAAATGACTTTATTTTTACAGTCCTTCATATGTGTTGTTTGTATATGATCTATACTTTCTAAGACTTCACTCTATTGATTATCTTTCAGTGAGTTGCATTTTTTCATTAAGCAACGGAGAGCTGTACATTTTGCATGGCTTTCTGGAGCTGGTATTTACCATGGTGGCTTAAATTTTGGAGGACAACAGAGGTAGTATAGAATGACTTGACTTTGTTGTCTGTTTCATCTTTAATAAATATTGATTTGGAACATGTTCACTATGTTGGTCATCTGCAAACCTCATTTCTGAACATGAATGGTTGCTACTGCAAATTCTTACATCTTGTTTTTTAGGAACTTATTCACCTTTCTCTCAATTTTCGACAGTTCTTCAGGTGGAAATGAAAATTTTATTGAGAACAAAGCTCTTTTGGACTACTCCAAATTGTCTGAAGGAGCTGAAGTAGTTAAACCAAGTTCAATGGCATTGTCTGAATTCCATTTCTTGTTGCTTCTGGGGAATAAGGTTAAGGTGTGTATGCACTTTTGTATCATAGTTTTGTTTTCACCCATACGTCACAATCCCAATTTAAAGAGTTTTATACATGTTTGCTAAATTATTTGAACATTTGTAGGTTGTAAACAGAATTAGTGAGAACATTATTGAGGAACTTCAGTTTGATCAAACTTCTGATTCAGCATCAAAGGGTATTATAGGGTTGTGTAGTGATGCCACAGCTGGTTTGTTTTATGCATATGATCAAAACTCCATCTTTCAGGTTTGTGTTTTCTGAATTCTGTAACCTTCTGAATTTTGGATCTAACTGGCTTGGTTATAATTGCTGCTGTATTTGATAATTTAGTAGGTGTCTATCAATGATGAGGGCCGAGATATGTGGAAGGTATATCTTGACATGAATGAATATACTGCTGCTTTAGCAAATTGCCGTGACCCTTTTCAAAGAGACCAAGTATATTTAGTGCAGGTCCTGTTCACTGTGCTGCCCAATAAATAGTTTGTCTAAATTCATGATAAATTTTTTTCCACAAGATAGTTTGGAGTTTGATTGTAATAATTTATGGTGCAGGCTGAAGCTGCATTTTCTTCTAGAGATTATTTTAGAGCTGCATCTTTCTATGCCAAAGTAAATCCCCTCTGAGTTCATTATTTTGTTATATATAGTTTGTTATATTACTGCAAGAGCTTCCTTTTCTTTCATGACACTTGATTACTTAAAAATAAATGTGCTGCCCTTTGCTATATATCCTGGTCGACTGGACTTTCATAGCTATATACTTTCAAGGTTTCCAAATCGGGACCAAAAAGTTTCCAAATCATTGCATATAGATATCGTTTTACATCTTTTCCCAATGATTTGTATTCGTTTAAGAGGGAGATCCACATGTAATAGTTTAAAACTGTCTACCATTTTTTTTTTCTCATTTAAAAACATCATTCCCTAAAGATAGGTCTCTGAATGTTTTATGAGCTCTGATCATAAATTTAAAGTTTGACAGTGTAGAATATTTTGGCAGCATCATCTTTACATAAAGTGCTCTATTATGATAATTTGGTTATAATTGTGATTCCTTTGTACTTAAGTAATGCTTTCTAGTATTAACACTGCGGACTTTGTTTTGATAATCCGAAAGAAAAAATAAATTTGACAGGAATATTATTTGCAGATCAATTATATTTTATCATTTGAAGAGGTCACTTTGAAGTTCATTACTGCTGGTGAACAGGTACTTTTCATGCTGCTAGCCCTTAAATATGAATTATACTGTGGTTGCATTCTTTGTCAATGTGTGTATTTTTAGAAAAATTTACATTGTAATTTTTTCTTTCTATAAGAAAATCTTTTTTGATCATACTATTATAATATTATTTCATTCAGCCTGCTTCTAATACATCAGTGTATTAAGTTTAATAAATGATAAATAAATGTTGCATCATTGCATTTTCTTATGTGCATTTAATCTCTACAGTGATTGCTTTCTATGTTGGCATATGCAAACTGGTTTGATTTGGTTTATCCTGAATTTAAATTTTTAAATTTTTGGATTTGAAATTTGACTCATTCTTATACAAATTCACTGGTTTCTTTCTTTGTGTAGGATGCTTTGAGAACTTTCTTATTGCGGAAGCTTGATAATTTAGAAAAGAGCGACAAATGCCAAATAACAATGATATCCACTTGGGCAACTGAATTGTATTTGGACAAGGTTCTACATTCTTGACATTTGGAATAATAATTCCTTTATCTAATTTTCTGTGAACAATGGCATAACAAAACCTTATATGATATCCAAATTTAAACTAGAGTGGTGCTTAATTATGTATAATATGTCCTGAAATTCCATCTGTTTTCCACAAACTCCTTATTGTTTTACTTATTTGTACATGGGACATGAAAAATGAGTGATAGGAAAAAGAAACAATTCTTATTGTTATGAATGCAAATTTAATATCAGAGCTGAATTGCGACAATGAAGAGCTTAAACTACTCCTAGCTAGGGATAGTTCGCTTAGAGCTTAAGCTAAATGCTGAAACAAACACAAAAATCATGGCCCATCAGTAAGTGTGATAAGAAAACCATTCTTTACTGCTTTAATAAATTTAAGTTATATAAACTTGTGTGTAATGAAAGCCACAGTCCCCAACCTTTGTGAAAAAATCGGCTTGACATGAAAATACAAATATACTGTGTTCACAATGTTAATGCAAACACATTGTAGTTGTTAGGAAGTTAAAAATATATGAACGGAGGAATAAAGGAGGAATACCGAACGGTAGCCGGAAGGAAGGAGGGAATGACCGAACGGTAGCTGGAAGGAGGAGGGAAGTAAATGCCGAGCGGTAACCAGAAGGGAGTAGGGAAGTACAGCCCGAATGGTGGGAGGAGGGAGTGAACGGTGGGAGGAAGGAGTGAAGGAACCGAACGCTATATACACTAATACCGAACGGTAGAGGATGAATAAAAAGGGCGTGAAAGTTTGTTAGGTTGCTAGGGGGAGCGAGAGAGTATAAATAAACCTTCTATGATTCTGTTGAGTAGCTAGTCATTTCTTATGTTTTGTAAACAGGTCTTGGACCTTGTTGAGGGGGATTAGGCTCCCGAGTTGTTATTGTTTTCGTTTTACAGATACAGTGAATACATACATACAATTACAGAGATCATACACATTTCCTTTGTTTTCTCTTGTTTATTTGCTCTGGCGTGCGTGGGTGTTGCGAGAAAAGTTAGGTCTCTTACTAAGATACCTAACAAATTGGTCCGACCTGCCGGATCGGAGTGAGGGTGAAGGATCAAGAAGTAATTAAGAGGCTGACGGATCCAATTAAAGGGAGAAAAGAGCAATGGAGAACCAGCTGGATGCCATGGAGATAGCGGTCAAAGGATTGCGCCAAGATATGACGGTGATACGGCAAGATTTGCAAGAAGTCTTGCGGATTTTGGGAGGAGGGGCGCGTGACCAGGAGGGGATGTCTGACGGTAGTCAAACGTCTGTAAACGCCAATCGAAGGACGAGGTGGGAAGACGTGATCGGAGGAAAAGTTGGAGAGCGCGGCGAAAGTCACGGCGGGTGGCAAAAACAGGTAGAATTGCCCCTTTTTCGAGGGTTTTGATCCGCTAAATTGGATCAATCGCGCGGAAAAAATTTCGAAGGGCAAGGCATCTCGGACGAGGAGAAAGTGAGATTAGCATACATTAGTATGGAAGGGAGTGCAGGATACTGGATACAGGCGTGGAGAATGAAGGCCAAAAACCAATCCTGGGAAGGGCTGAAGGATGCGCTGGTAATGAGGTTTGGGAATCAAAACAGAGGGTCGGTCTTTGAGCGATTAGGAGGGACTAAACAAATAGGGACAATGGATGAGTTCGTCCAAGAATTCGAGGGTTTGGCGGGGCAGACGAAGGGGTTGCCGGAGGAACAACTACTGGGGTATTTCCTCGCAAGCTTGCAGGAGAATATACGAAATCAAGTTCGAATACAAGATCCCCAAGCACTGATGGCCACCATGCGAATCGCCAGGGACGTGGAGGAAGCTCGCAAGGGAAATAAGGATGGGGGCTGGAGCGAAAATATAAACCCATCAGTGTGGGGGCGGAGTGTAGGCGGAGGAGGTGCAGTGGTGAGGGTCGAACCAAATTGAAGCAGTGAAGAAACAAAACAAAATAGGTGTGCAAAAAGGGTGGATGCCATGAAGAAGGTGGCGAAGCTGGACGTTGAGCGGAGTGTGGAAGAGAGGAACTTGTTCTCTGTTGGATACAAAAATGTGGTGGGGTCCTAGAGAGTTTCATGGAGGATCTTGTCATCGATAGAGCAGAAAGAGGAGTCAAAAGGGAATGAGTTGAATGTTAAGCGCATAAGGTATTATAGGCACATGGTCGAGTTGGAGCTGTCTAATACTTGCAGTGCTATTAGGATAATTTTAGATGAGCATCTTATCCCATCCACTAATATTGCGGAGTCCACGATGTTTTATTATAAGATGAAAGGAGACTATTACAGGTACTTGGCAGAATTCCAAGCTGGTAATAAAAAATAGAGGTAGCAGATCAGTCATTTAAAGCATATTAGACCGTTGTTACCACTATTGAGAGTGAATTTCAACCTACACATTCTATTCGTTTGGGTCTGGCTCTAAATTTCTCTGTGTTTTATTATGAGATAATGAATTCACCTAAAAGGGTATGTCATCTTGCTAGGCAAGCGTTTGGTGTTGGCTATGTTGTGATTGATTGGAGTAGGAATCCTTTTAGTTATGGTGATTATTCTTATGTTGCGGTTGGAAACTCAGGAGATGACTATGATATAGTAGGGAGGTCAATTGATAACTGTTTGTTTTTTGCTGATGAAGTAACCTGCCAAGAGCACCCAGATACGGTTGGGGGTGATGATGAATGGACTACGAGAGTCTGTTCGCATAATTGACACATTGAGCACTGGAAATGATTATATTGCTGAGGTGGAGGGATTAGGAATCAGAGATAAACTTTATCTCTTGGAGTTGGGAGGGGTGGATGTGATATTAGGAGTTACCTGTTTGGCATCCCTGGGAAAAATGAAAGTAGATTGGTGGTAGCTGAGCATGAAGATTGAGCAGGAGGAATGGAAGACATCGGTGGAGGGTTTGAGGTGCAGAATGTTGGAAGTTAATAGAATCCAGGAAGAGTGGAAGACATTAGAGGAGGATTTGCCACCACCCAAGCCTCCAGACCTGAATTGGAGGGCGCCACTTGGGAAAAGGAGCATTACATCAAATAACAGTACCGTGACTTCAACCTTGAGGACAAGGTTGATTTTGAGGGGTGGAGTAATGTTAGGAAGTTAAAAATATATGAGCGGAGGAATAAAGGAGGAATACCGAACGGTAGCCGGAAGGAAGGAGGGAATGACCGAACGGTAGCTGGAAGGAAGGTTGGAAGCAGAGGCCGAGCGGTAGCCAAAGGAAAGGGGGAAGTACCGAACGGTAGCTGGAAGGAGGAGGGAAGTAAATGTCGAGCGGTAACCAGAAGGGAGTAGGGAAGTATAGCCCGAACGGTATCTACACTAATACAGAATGGTGGGAGGAAGGAGTGAACGGTGGGAGGAAGGAGTGAAGGAACCGAACTGTATATACACTAATATCGAACGGTAAAGGATGAATAAAAAGGGCGGAAAAATTTGTTAGGTTGCTAGGGGGAGCGGGAAAGTATAAATAAACCTTCTGTGATTCTGTTTAGTAGCTAGTCATTTCTTATGTTCTCTAAACAGGTCTTGGACCTTGTTGAGGGGGATTAGGCTCCCGAGTTATTATTGTTTTCGTTTTACAGATACAGTGAATACATACATACAATTACAGAGATTATATACATTTCTTTTGTTTCTCTTGTTTATTTGCTCTGGCGTGAGTGGATGTTGCGAGAAAAGTTAGGTCTCTTACTAAGATACCTAACATTAGTAAAACATTAACGCTTAGAGATTCATGATATAGTTTTTTTTTTGTTGAGAAAATGGCTAGAGCTGTGAAGAAATTTCTGATACTCTAGAATGGCCTTAGGCAATTAAGTTACTCCTTCAGTTGTATTCTTTAATATTTATCTTGTGAGTTAATAGGTATTTTTTGCTTGCAAGTTAATTTGGTTTTCATCTCTTTTGATATTTTAGATAAACCGACTGCTCTTGGAAGATGACTCTGCATCAGAGAATAGCAATTTAGAGTACCAATCAATCATTAAAGAGTTTCGTGCTTTTCTCAGTGACAGCAAGGATGTATTGGATGAAACAACTACAATGAAACTTTTAGAAAGGTATTATTTGATACTTGATATGCCTGCCACATGTTTTTGGCTGGACATTAATTCTTGCTACTTACCTGTTTTCTTCAATTTTATTTATAAAGTTATGTGAGTTTATATTTTTAAAATTCTCTCAACCACAGGTTATTTCATTTAGGGTTTAGTTCAATAAAAAGATGCAGGAAAGAAAAAGTATGTTCTTTAAGGGCAGAGTGGGAGCATCCAGTTCCATGTTTGTTTGGATTTAATTAATTTTATAGTTTTTAGAGTTTTTTAAAATTTAGTTATCATAATAAATTATTCAAGAGAAACTATTAAATTTGTAAAATGTGGACACCCTTTGTCTCAACGAGAGATTCAAGATAACAAGGTGTTTTTTTAATGTATAACTAGATTGAGTAGTAATAGATGCAAACCTTTTGGGATTAGAACACAGTGTAGTATATGGTGGGATACTATTTCGGATTTTATTAGATATGAATTCTGTACTCTTTAATCTACCTCTTTATAGGGTCGTTCCTTGAGTGAGTTCTGGTAGAGTCCCCCCACTATTTTGTATCTTTTATTTTACTTTTAATGCTATTTTGGTATGTTGTAGATGATTGATATAACTTGGGTTACCAGCTTAATTCAGATTGCTAGTTACATATGATGCCTTTGCATACCTTAGTTTGAAAATAAAGGGTATTAATAATGCATCATTAGCTATTTTGATTCATTGATGATGATGGATGACTCCATCCTTCTGCGTTCTGCCTTGGATCTGGTATTGCAACTTTCACAATTGTAAATTCATCACATAATACCCCCATACTACTCAATATGAGACTTAGGTACCCCATAATGTCCAAGTCCCCACTGTAGCTGCGCTCCTAAGAGTTGATGTTCTAGCGGGACTGCACATGAAAACTTTGTAACCAATTAATCTAAACACTTGAGGAACTCTCCCTTAAATTTTAGCTTTTCAGGGGGAATAGCAAATCACTTAGGTACTCCGCTGAGCATCCTATTACTAGTTGATGTGGAGCTTAAACACCTCATGATACCCAACTCCCTGTCACAATAACATAATCTTTTATTGTTTATCATATCAATCTGAATAAGTTTTCAATTTATTTAGTGGCTTATTTCCTTGTCATTTACAACTTTGACCAAAGTTAGTTATATATTATATGACCATTAATCTTATATAATTTTGGTTTTGCAATTTTCTACAGTTATGGAAGAGTTGAAGAATTGGTATATTTTGCGAGCTTAGAAGGGCACTATGAGATTGTAGTTCACCATTACATTCAGGTGCACTGTTTGCAATTTGTCTCATGTCATCACTAACGATCTCCATTTCCATAATCCAGATCTCTATTGCTTTATAGAAGTATACAATCTCACATTGATTATATTTCCTTTTCTCTGTTCTTACTTTCTGTTTTTGTTTCTTTTTTCCAGCAAGGTGAATCAAAGAAAGCATTGGAATTGCTTCAGAAACCTGATGTGCCTATAGATCTGCAGGTATGATTCACCTTTTAGGATTTGGGGTGTGAAAATCTATTTGTCTCTATTTTGTCCCATTCGTCTCGAGCTATTTCAGCCATTATATTAAATTGGAACTGTAGCCTCTCAATTTCTTTTGAGAAATGTAACAAATTATGGACAATACTGGCTGTCGTATGCAGTATAAGTTTGCCCCGGACCTTATTGCCCTTGATGCATATGAAACTGTGGAGTCATGGATGGCTACAAAGAATCTGAACCCAAGGAAACTGATTCCTGCAATGATGCGCTATTCAAGCGAACCACATGCAAAGTACTGCATATTTGTGTTTGCATTTTTATTCAGTTAAATGTTTCAGTCACAATTGTGTTCATCAATTTATTTATTCTGTGTTCTCTCTGTTTTTTTTTTTCTGACAGTTTTCTTAAATTTATTGATACTGTTTTGGAATTTTAAGTTCATTTATGTAAACTATTTTTGCATGAAGGAATGAGACACATGAAGTCATTAAATATCTTGAATATTGCGTTCATCGATTACATAATGAAGACCCTGGAGTTCATAACCTGCTACTTTCTTTGTATGCAAAACAGGTTGGTGTCTTGCTTCTACATGCATGATCCGTGTACTTCTGATGTTGTGATTATGAAGGGTGTTTCATGTTCCTATTGTATTTTGATATCATCTATATCTATATATAAATAAATGAATATATGTATTCCTGCAAATGAACAAATGGATGCTACAGTTATCCATGCCTGTGCAATTTTCATAAGGAGTTGGTAATCTCTGCATAGTTTATGCTGTGCACCTTACACCTCTAAACTATATGACGTTAATCTACCTGTCTTTTCACTTCTCATGTACGCAAACAAAAACTACTCTTTACTGTATGGCCGTGCCAATGCCATTCATTAAAACTGAAATGAAAGTTCATAGTGCTATTTAAACTTACTTTATTCGTACTGCAATTTAAAACTATTAAAATCTCCTAAGATCGAATCAAATTTCCTGTTTTTTCCATTAAGATAAGATGATAATCATATTCTTTATTGTATGTTCATTAACACTCACAGGACATGATTGGGATTGCAATTGTAAATATAAGTTGAACAAGATCCTTCATGGAAATATTAATGGAAATTCTAATATGTGCATTTTTCTTTGTAAAACATAACTTTAATTAATCAACTGAGGTTTGACCGAGTCTTAAACTAGTCTCATTTCTTGCAGCTGATACATGGAAATAGTTGTTTATCTTGAAAAGATTTTACGTCTTCTCGGTCTGTCTAGCATTGACAATTGTGCCTATTTATGTATTTGTTTCTTTTTCTTTTTGTCTACTCAGGAAGATGATAGTTCACTTCTACGTTTCCTACAATGTAAATTTGGTAAAGGACCGGAAAATGGTCCTGAGTTCTTCTATGATCCTAAGTATGCCTTGCGTCTTTGCCTAAAGGAAAAACGAATGCGAGCATGTGTTCATATATACAGCATGATGTCTATGCACGAAGAAGCGGTTGCCCTTGCCCTACAGGTGAGATTAATATGATGACAATGAGTTTTAGCGCACCCCTAATATACTCTCTACTATTGGTTATAATTTATTAAAAATTATAAAATCATGACAATAAGCGGTAAATGGGAAGTGGAACCCACAAAAAAAATGTGTTTTTTGATAAATTTAAGTCAGTAGTAGAGAATGTGTTTAAAAGTTTGTTGTTAGAATTTGTCATTGGTGATATTTTTCACTCGTAGTTATATCTTTTAGGGATTCTGCAAGAGCAACCAATTCTAACAGATGTTTTATTCTTTATGCACTAGAAATCTTGATATAGGGAATATAATTCACTTATGAGGACCAAAAGTGCCTTCTATTGGGGGATTTTTCTGCCTTTATGGCCCTTCTCCATTTGGCTGGGATAAGTTATTGGTCTTGTAGAATATATAGTTCTCTCAGGTTTTGAAAAGTAGTTCAACATATCCAGTTAGATGTTTTTTAAATTTTCAATATTTTTACATCCCAACAAAGAAATAAAAAATAAGCCTTCGTATATTTTGAAGATATTTTACTTTTTCATTTTTTAATTGTCATAATTTTGTGCTAACTAACTTTCCTATACCAGGTTGATTCAGAGCTTGCTATGGCTGAAGCTGACAAGGTTGAAGATGATGAAGATTTGAGAAAGAAACTCTGGCTTATGATAGCTAAGCATGTTGTTGAACAAGAAAAGGGAACTAAGAGGGAAAACATTAGGAAGGCAATTGCATTTCTTAAAGAAACTGATGGCCTGCTAAAGATTGAGGACATATTACCATTCTTTCCAGATTTTGCGCTGATTGATGACTTCAAGGTACAGTTATTTTTGTTCTGATTTTGTCATCTTGATTGACAATTTTCAAACCTGATCAATTTATCTAGTGATACTTACTAGCTATGTTTTATTTTATTTTTGTTCTCTGTTGACATTTTCATATAATATGTCAAAATTAACTAAAGAATGTGATATGTGAACTATATGTCTTAGATAATTGTAATTGGTTTTCTTGAACTGCGGTTGGTGAGCTTATCTAAATTTATGCAGGAGGCTATATGCTCCTCATTGGAGGACTACAATAAGCAAATTGAACAGCTTAAAGAAGAGATGAATGATGCAACCCGCGGTGCTGACAACATCAGAAATGATATCAGTGCACTTGCTCAAAGATGCACTATTATTGATCGAGACGAGGAATGCGGGGTATTGCTCTTCCTGATACATTAAGATCAATCTGCTTTTGTTTTTCTGATTTAGTTTGCTGAACCAATGCCCTAAACTGAAATCATTTTATTCTACTCCCTATAGGTCTGCCGACGGAAAATTCTAGCTGTGGGGAGGGACGTAGGCATGGGTCGAGGTTTTACATTAGTAGGACAAATGGCTCCCTTTTACATCTTCCCGTGTGGACATGCCTTCCACGCACAGTGCCTGATTGCCCATGTGACTCGTTGTACAGTTGATTCCCAGGTAAATACAATGCCTTTATCTCGTAACTGTCATCTCACGGCGACTACTTCACATTATGGTACCTGAAAATTTGTTGTTTTAGATTAGTCCAACACTAGTGTGGGTGTGAAAAGCGATGTAATAAAGCTGAAAGGACACAGTGATCTGATCTTTAGCT